CTTCGTACGTACTCTCGGGCAATTCGTTGTCCTTTGGAAGCATATCCTTTATCATTACCAGCAACTTTCCAAATCCCTTGTCAGATACACCATTCTCTGCCTTCCATTGCAGCAATTCCAGTGTGGTGCCCAGCTTTTTCTTGTCACCTACGCAATTCGGGTACAACAATTTTTTGTGATCCTCTAACATGCGCTGCAACTTCTTCTTCTCCAAATCACTTGCGCAGTTTCTCTTTGCATCGGCAATGGCCCGACCTAGATCATCAACGGGCTCATCTGATGCCTCTTCTTCAGCTTCTTCCTGCATTGCCGGCTCAGCTTCTTCCCGCATTACCGGCTCAGCTTCTTCCCCCATTGTTGTATCATCGTATTCAGGGAACCCATGGCCAGGATAGCTGTCGTCGTCCTCTTCTTCTTCATTGTCTTCCATCATAACCCCTCTTTCTCCATGCTTGGTCCAAACATTATAATGGGGCATGAAACCGGTCTTAAACAGGTGGACGTGAATGGTTCTTGACGTAGAGTAATTGTGACCATTCTTACAGCGAGCACATGGACAGGACATAAAACCATCCGCCCGCTTGTTTGCCTCAGCCGCAAGCAGAAAAGTACGCACGCCCTCAACGAACTGGGGAGAGCATCGGTCATCGTACATCCATTGCCGGCTCATCTTCATTACACAACACCGAATAGACCAAATTAATACAAGTTCATACATAAAGTTCATACAACACTTAAATGCAACAAACAAATAACTCTCTAGCTAAAGCATTTAAATGCAACAACAAATACGATCAAGATCGCAACTAAGGTAACAATGGATCCAACAGCATAATGATACCAAGCCTCACTATCGATGGCATATTTTCTAATCTTTCTAATCTTCAAGCGCATTTTCTCCATCTTCATCTTGTGATCATCGACGACATCGGCAACATGCAACTCCAATTCCATCTTCTCCCCCTCAATTCTTTTCAATTTTTCTTTCAAGTACTCGTTTTCTCTTTCAACTAAATTTAACCTCTCGGCAATAGGGTCGGTTGGAATTTCCGGTTCACATACCTCCTAGAAAAAATTTCTATGTCAACTTGATGGGCATAATTTGTCATAAACACGAAATGCAACTAGTTTTAAAAGAGAATATACATACCACATCCGAATCATAACAAGGACTAGGGCCGACGGGGACGGATATCAAAACCATGGCACTATATGTATAACAAACAACGTACGGGTAAGATAATTATACGAGTAACTATATATCCAAATCACACAAACATCAATTTTTATATAAAATTTCATGAACTAGAAGCTCACCACACGGTGGTGCCGGCGACGGGACGGTGCGGGCGATCGACGGTGGCTACGATGGAGATTTAGAAGGCACTAAGTAAACCACACCTACATATGCAAACTAAGTGTTATTTTTGACCTCAAATTGCATATAAATCAAATACTAGCACATATATATATATATATCCTCCCAAATTACTAAACTCACAAATTAATCACTATATAAAGCATTGCAAGAGCTAATCTAGCAATGAGAGGTGAAAGGACAAAGTTGCTAACCTTGATCATTTGAATGGATGGGGGCCTTCAAATCTTGACAATTTTTGGGCAAAATGTGTGATGAGCTCGAGAGGAAGAGGGGAAGAACAGAGAGGAGAGGGGAAAGGGGAACAACAGAGCGAGCTCGGGTGGACGAAGGGTTTATGTAGGACGACCTTTAGTACCGGTTCGTGCCAAGAACCGGTACTAAAGGGGCTGGAGGGGCACCTGTCTGACAACATCCTGCCACCACTCTCATTAGTACCGGTTCGTGGCACGAACCGGTGCTAAAGGTTCGCCACGAACCGGTACTAATGAAAGCCGCCCGGCTAGCCGTTGGAACCGACACTAATGTTAGTGCCGGCTCAAATACAAACCGGCACTAATATGCTTCACGATTGACCCTTTTTCTACTAGTGTAGGTGTCATCCTTGAGAAATCTCCAAATAAGACCAATCTAAGAGTTTATGAGAAAGAGAATATGCGTCACCTCCTCCTATGAAGGATGCACACTAGATTCAAGTTCGAGTACGACAACCTATTATATCCAAAGAATTAGGTAAACAACCACGCAATCTATAAGTTCTTCAAGAATTTGAGTTCTCAGAAATCCACCGTGAGAAACAAGCATCTTCTCAAAGATTTCGAGGTCCGCAAAAAATGGCCTACGATTACTGAAGATGACTGGAACATTTTGAAGATGCGCAACCAGAGCCCTGGAGTGGAGACCCAGTGATCATGGAGGAAGGACATGCGATCAAAGACATTAAGTAACCACACCCTCGGAAGCCGTGATTTCGTTGGAAGAAGCATGTATGGGACAAGCAGGACGCTATATTTGTAGGAAAGGGTGTCCCAAACGGCTTCGGTCAATTTAAGGGTGTCCCAAACGTGGATAACCAAACGGGGACTCGAGGAAGAACTGGTATATAATTAAACCGGCACGCTTAATTATGTTTCTTGGATTTCTACATAAGTAATAATGGAGTTATATTTGTTAGTCTTTGTTATTGCAGGACTTCTGATTGGAAGTGCTCACGTTGTAGATTGGATCGAATGGTCAGTGTGAAGGTTCTGAAAGTGAAACGGGTTGATCGGATGAACACGGCTCTCGGTTAAATCTTGCGCATGCTTCTAGTGATGAACAATGCCCAGGATCACAGAGTATTCGTACTGCAGTTGAAGAGGTGCGTCCAGATGTATTGTAGGGTGATTGTAGAGATGAACAATAATGCCCAGGACCAGTAAGTGTTGGTACTGTGATTGATGAGGTGCATCCAAATGGTGCCTTCACGGAGGAAGCTCTGTTTTGTTGACTTGTCTCATTTACCGGACAACAATACCCATGGCTCTGCATATATGGGGGATGCAGGAGGAGCAGCAAGTGTAGTGGCTCATCAACTTTCTGAAAAATGCACTACGAAATTTTACTGCTGCTGGTTGGTCGCAGTGGTAATTCATTTGTATATGTTTTGGTTGTTATGATTAGAGACGATGGATGAACTCAATTTCCGAAAATGCAAGTGTCACTTGAGCGAGTGCATAGTTGACACGTTGTAAGAAAGGGTAGACATTTTGGCCCGCTGGTTTCTTCACTCCATTTGCCCTGCATCATTTCGTTTACTGATCTGACCCTCTTTTCCCTCAAAGATCCGTCCATCTCTGAGGCGCTACACATTTGTGGTTCAACTCTGTTCTCTGCAACTATCTTTTATGTATCCCAGTCCCCGGGACATGTACCGTATGTTTATGTAGAACCTTCTGTTGCTTATATTGCGTGGTTGTAACAGGGTAGTTTGGTGCGTCAGGTTTTTTGTCCCATAGTTTGTATTCCATGCATGTAACAAAACAAACATGAATTAGGGAACATGCATGGCAAATGACTACAATTAAACACATGAATAAACACAGATTAATATCTACTGCTTGGCTGTCGGTTGTCTCCTCGACGGTCGATTCTGCTATCACTTCTTCATCTGATGTTTCCTCCCGAATCGTGGACGAATGCTCTGGCAGGAAGTTGATTAGCTGCGGTAATGGCTGCTCTTCCTGCATACGCGTATACACTGAGTGTCGGCATTGTTGCCCCCGCAAAAAGAAGAGTAACCGATTATGTCTTCTTAGTCTGAGTAGTTTGATGGTAGGAAGTCGAAGTCCTGAACAACAGTAACAGTATAATCAGAACAGCACACAACATGTATAACTGTCCGTGCTATAGCAGTGCACAACTACAACCAGAATTATTTTCCTCTTAGATGGATAATTAGTGCAAGTATTGCATATTTTACTGAGTAATCTTGACACAAAGGTACAGTATCAAGTAAAGAAAAAAAAATATAGACACCTAATTCGACACTTAGAATGACTCTCCAGAGATACTCATGCCATGTGTGTATATATTTGCGGATAAAGAAAGAGTGGGCACTGGTCAGTGCGAGAATAAAAGCAGTACAAAATGTTTTAAATACCGGGCTATGAAAAATCCATATATATATACACATGGAGGACAGTTAACTTACGGAGGGCAGGGAGGTGGTGAAGCAACCTCCACTCATGCAAGGGCACCTTGCTTTCACTAACATCCAGATCAGTTATTGGAGAAGAGGAGGCACCGCTGCGTGATGAGCTCTCTCCCCATGATGACAGCACATTATCACAATCTACTATGTCCTAAGACAAAGCTCTAGGCAGACATGGTCCTATCCTCAACTTGCGACATTGCTTTATGCTCAACTTCTCAAGCTTAGGAAACATAAGCCCATTTGCACCTCCCTCACCAGTGTTATATGCAGTGTTCCACTCTTCCAAGCTCTCCATACGGTAGAGATCCAGCTCTAATAGATTTGGTAGTTGACCAAGTGCTGGTAGCGTGTTGCACTTAGGAAAATTCAACAAATTTAACTCCAAAAGATCAGGGAGATACTGCCTAATATCCATAAGCCAATCAGGAATGCTGAGACTCGTGTAACCAACTATAGTCAATATCTGTACACTGCTTGGTGGCACTAGCTGTTCCAGCACATCCTTGTCATCCACAAACCTCTCAGCATTTTCGGTCCATCGAAATGTTAACACTTTCATGTTTTGTTTCTCTATCAGCTTTATACTCCATGCCTCTTTTGTAGACTTCACATTTTCAAGTCTATCTATCGTCAGCTTATCAGGATTTGTAGGCTCAAGGAGGTTGATATTGCTGCTACATTTATCACTTGAAGCATACACCACAAAGTGTGGCAACGAGACAAAATTTAAGAGAGCACACATAGATCCATCCAATCTAACCTCTTTTTCCACAATTAGAACCTTCAAATTAACCATATTAATCATACTATTAGGAAGCTTCTTTAGGCGATGGCAGCCTGAGAGGTCCAGCGTATGAAGCTGCCTGAGGTTGCCAATACTTGTTGGTATACTGGAAAGCTTTCTATTCCCAGACAAGTCCAGATGCTCTAGATTGGAAAGGGTGCAGATAGAGCCAAGCAAACGGCCGATTTGATCATCACTTGACGGAAATTTCCATGCATCCCGATAGATTTAAATACCTGAGTTTGATTAGATTGCCGATGACGTCTGGTAGCCTTCTGTCAGAATGTTCAACTGATAAATTCAAATATTGTAGTTTGGTAAAACCACCAAAAGCTTCTGATATAGACACACGGCAATGTGATAAATCCAGATGAACCAACTGCTTCAGCTCTGCGAATGATATAGGGAGTTCACTTATTCCAGTGCAACCTGATAAATCAAGATGCATCAGACCTTTAATATCACCAATTGACTCCGGCAGTGCTAAGATTTTCTCAGAGCCTCTAAGGTTGAGATAATTTAATTCTGAGAGCTCGGTGATACAATTGGGAATCATCTTATCTTGTATCCGTGGAGCATGAAGAAATCTCAGCTGCTTCAGTTGGCCAATACAATCAGGTAGCTTCTAAATAAGGCATTCACTTAAGTCCAAGACACGGAGGCACTTAGCTGACGAAAATGCACTTCCACGAAGTTGTGTATTGCTGCAGTCCTGAAAATGCAGCGCCTTTATATTTGCAGGAGAAGTGAAGGAAAACTGCAATGGATTGCTACAATCTGTGAGCAATGCATAGCGGCATTTGTTTCCACCAACACTGCCCTTATCGTTAAATTGATGGGCCAAGATCATCCTGGCGAGATCGTGCACTAGGTCATTCATCCTGAAAAATGTAACATCTCTGTCCTGCATTTCACCACTCTACAGCAAAAACACCGAATGTTATCAGAACTTTGAACTTTATTTCGTTTTATAGTGCTCTAATTATCAATAGAAATACTTCCATGTTTTTTATACCCTCTAGTTTCATAATTATCCATCCATGTTTTTTACCCTCTTCGAATCGCTCATGACAAATGTTATGTTACACCAAGAGTAGGTTATCTCGTATCAAACAAATGCATTCACAACTGTCTGTTCAATTAAACTATAAGCACTAGCAAAAATATCTGTAAATTGTGCATATTTGTTATCTGCACGGGATAGACAAAAAATTGCCAAAATAGGGCAGCAATGTGCGCACAAAGATGTCTCTTTTGTACAGTTCATATAATTATATTATATGTTTTCTTAGTAAGGAAATAGCCTCATACATTTTTACTAGACATTTATGAATTTACCAACAAAAATTCAAAGGAAAAATTGTAACACGGGCAGATGCACTAGAATGTGTGTTTTTTTTGCTCTGATGTGAGTAGCCGAGTAGGACTACGTAATGTTGAAATTAATGTGAGAATTATGTAGCAACTCACCTTAGGATCCTTTGAATATTCAAGGAAGAACATCCCCAAAAGTTGCATGATATAATCCTCGGAGAGCTGCATAAAATCAAATATCCTAGATTGCTCGATGAACCCAAGAGCAATTCATTGGTAAATTAGATCATACTTCATCATTATGTGACCTTTTGGAAAGATTGCACAATAGGAAAAGCACAACTTCAACGAAACAGACATGTGGCTATAGCTTAACAGTAAGGATCCAAGCACTTCGTGGCCCTCCGAAGTTGATAGACTCCAGAAATAACTGTCTCTCACCGACTCCCATTCATCTGCCGTCATGCCGTTCAACATATGTCCAAGTGATTGAGCTGCTAAGGCCACACCTCCACACTTGGTCGCAATCTCCCTTCCTATATGCTCCAATTGTTCTTGGTCGACTCGGTCTTCAAAGTCAGCCTTTTGTTTTATTATAGTCCAACACTTATCAACCGTCAAAGTCTCCAGCTTGTATGGTGTAACTGCAGGACTACAAATTTTCCTTGCGAGGCCTCCATCACGTGTAGTTACTATAACCACCTTCCTTCCCAGGCCAAGCCCTAGCATAACCTTCAGTTTATCAAACTCTTTTGGGTTCTCCTCCCATAGATCATCTAAAACAATAAGGATGCGCTTACCAAAAAACAGCTCTTTAAGGCGTTTATGAAGCATCTGTTTGGTAGATATATTGCCAATTTTGTCAGTTAACTGTGTTATTATGGAGTTGCCAATCTGGCTCAAGTTGAGTTCCTGGGAAACATATACCCACACCCGAGTGTAGTCTTGGAACTGTGGGTCATTGAATACCAGTTGTGCCAAGGTTGTCTTGCCAATGCCTCCAATGCCATATATAGGAAGGATAACCATTTCTTCTGTGATGCTCTCGGATAAAATAGACAATATTTTCTGTTTTTCCTCAGTCCATCCGATGATTAATGTTTGTTCCACATCTGACGATGTTTCCCTATCAGGAAGCATATCTGCAATCTGAGTACATGGAAATATCAGAATATAATCTCCTGGAAACCTAAATAGGTTTAGGATTTTTTATAATTAAACCCAACTAAAATATGATATTTTTTAAAGTTAATCTCTTCCTTAAGTAAGTGCAAACCTGCCGCACTTAATTGTATAAAAATGACACCTTGGGAAAAGTGCAACATCCCCAAACATAAGAAGTCAATTCCTTCAAAATTTGAGAATGCAATGGTAGGAGAAAAATCAAGCCTATGGATATTTAACATGCTACAGCACAAAACTGCAACACAACAATCCATTTTAAAAACACAACTACACATAACCATAACAACCATATGAACGTACTGGCACAAACTGTTGCAGACTAGCTGGATTGTTGTCTTTGCTGCCTTAACATAGCATTCATATGGCATGTGCCATGCATGACCTTACCTTCAGTTCAGTAGCAAACTCATCTGCATTTTTTGTTGCACGAAGCCTATTAATTATATTATTCGTATCTGGTCTTCTTGCCGGGTTAAAGTCACTGCACTCTATCGCTATTTCAGTGCATACTCGTACTTGCTCCAGTTGTGTGTCTGGCTGTGATTTCTCCAACCTATTGCTCCACCTCTCAATTACCTATGAAATTGGAATCGTGTGTTATAATCTATGAAAAGGAGCAAGATATATTTTTACAGGACATGCTGAAGATCCGCGTCTCTTCATATAAAGAAGAGTGGCAAAATTCACAGAATACAAAAAATTATTATTATTATTATTATTATTATTATTATAAAATAGGAGGCATAAAAAATCATAGCAAAATCCTTCCGCCACCCGGAAGCAACAGGCATCCAGCCTAGCTAAAAAAACTACTCACTTACTCAAACTGAAAAACAAGGAACATTTTAGCTAGGAAATGTTACGTATATCAGCCCACTATATAATATCACTTGCTTTACACTTGACAAAGTAGCACATAAGGACAATTTAGGGTGTGTTTGGTTCTAGCATAGCCTTGCCCTACCAAATAGTTGGCTAACCAAAAAATTAGTAGATCTTTTGCTTGCCCATAAATTGGCCAACATTGGCAACAAAAATGAACTAGAATAGACAAAGAAGCATTGGCATGCCAAATGGTAGCCATCCAAACATAGACCAAAATTTTGGTGATGGCCCAAAATTGTAAGGGCGGTTGGCCAAAATCCAAGCACACCCTTAACACAGTTCAATATGTATGTTACAATTCTAATATTGACCAGCCGGATTGTAGTAGATGGTAACACCGAAGATCCATTATGGTAATACATAACCATTCCTATGTATCTAGAAATTTTGCAGTCACCATGATACCTGGGGAAAATATGTTTGACTCGTTTGCAGCTAATTAGTGTTTTGCACTAATATGCTACGTTTAAACAGAAGAATGATGTTATATGAAGTACTGTAATAAACTAATTTTGAAATCATGCCTTTATATTGGAATGGATTGCTTGTCTTACATTGGCAACATCAGCATATCCTTTCTCTCCTGTTATTATCTCTATGATTATCGTACCAAGACTATATATGTCCGACTTGACTGTGATCTGTCTGACACTACAGAATTCTGGTGCCAAATATCCCCTGCGTGAACATTTATATAATCTAACCGATTAATGGAAAAAGGGATTGATATTCATTCATGCATAACAAAAACAGAGCTTCCAACGGTCATATCAAGCTTACATAGTTCCAATCACCTTCGAAGCAATAGTACGAGTTTGATTTTCATCGAAGCATCTCGAAAGACCAAAATCAGAAATTTTCGGGATCATATTATTATCTAATAATATATTTCCGGGTTTAAGATCCAAGTGAACGATGTGCTTTTGGTGAAGATAATACAAACCGTCACAAATTCCATTGATAATTTGATATCGCTCTCTCCATTCAAGTCCACAAGATGCATCTACAAAGCAGGAGAGCAGAAAGTTGGTCTAGTAATTAAAATACTTTAAGTCATGAATTAGTCATTAAGTGCTAAATACATGGATGCTTGAACCAAATACGTGCCACATCATCCTACCAGTGATATGCTTATCAAGACTCCCTTTAGGTAGATATTCAAAGCAGAGCAACCTTTGTCGTACATCTGCCAAGACAAGCTTTCCCCCGCAATCTACCATTTCTCCTTGTGTGTCAGCGCAATATCCTAGGAACCGCACAATATTTTTGTGCTTTGCCTTCATCAGACAACGTATCTCTTCACTGAATTTCTTCTCATCAAGATCAACCGTTCCAAAAAGCTTCTTCACAGCAACCATGCCATTGTCAAGCATTCCCTATAACCGCAACATGTTTTGGCAGCGTCAACTTATGTTTTCAGATAAACTGCGATCTAAATAAAGGCAGCTGAGAGTTACCATATCCATACCTTATAAACCGTTGCAAAACCACCATTGCCAATTTCTTCACCACGAGAGAAACCGCTGGTGATGTGCTCCAGAAGTGATAATGGTAGAGCCTTTGGTTCTGCGCTTTCATCAAACAGAATACCCTCCAGGTCACTTTGCGGGGTAATATTATGGTGTTCCATTTGCAGTTACAAACAAAATAACCTTGAAACAAGAGAGAATGATTTATTCATGAGTGTATTAGATTCTCAACGATCATGAAAGACAGAGTAAATATCATGACACTACACTTCCTTTACAATACCATTGCTATACTACACCTTTAAGAAAAAAAATTAGACAGCGCTGCACTTTAGCATGAATCATTTCATAGAACCAATCTTAAACATATCACATTTCATAAAATGCACCCTATAGCATGTTATAGTTTTCAGGACTATACTTAGACGGTTAGACCTAGCAAGACACAAAGACAAAAGTGTAACTTTGTGAATATAGTTAATTAAAAGTGTAATGTGTGATCGTTCTGACAAAATAAATTTAGCATTGTGATATTTACATTCAGGGCAGAATTACACAAAGATCATCACTCTACTCTTTTGCAAATAGAAAAGATTGGATTACTTTGCTCACATTCCCTCAACGAGCAAAACTCTGAAACCATTATTCTTAGTTAACTGGATAAATACCATGAATAGACAAGTATGTCTCTTCCGTAAACCCAGCATTAGTGGCTGGTTCGACCAAGGCAGTCGGTAGAGATAAGAGTGTCTTTTTCTATTATCCGCAGGAAAAAAGAGAATGTAATAAGTAACTGAACTTGTTTGGCTGCACGACAGGAAAAGGCTGACACTTTTTGAATCTGCTTGCCATAGTTGTCATATAAACAGCGGAACAAATCCATGAGATTAGATTCTCCTTTTGAATTGTGCGTTAACTAGTCCATGGTAAAATTTGCATGCCTGTCAATTCTACAAATAATCACACAAGCTTTGTGGTGAAAGAAAATCCTGAAGAACAAAATCCTACAAAATTACACGCAAATCCGTTGAATCAAAATGGTTCATATCACAACGCCAATGGGATTTATTTGAATCAAAGATGCCAACGTGTGGAAGACTGGTCCAAAGCATCCTAAACACTGTTAAGACGCAGCAGGTACTGGAACTAAAGATAGCAATCATGCGGGAGAAGCCGAGCTGTAGCACTGTGAGGGGACGGCGAGTTTCAGACGTTCCAGTCCCGCGGACACTGGACAGAGTGCTGTTTGGACAAGGGGATTTTACCTCAGGACATGGGTACTTCCCGCAGAGAGGTGAGATCCAGATCTTGCTGTGGGGGAAGGGGGGTTTATCTCAGGACATGGATACTTCCAGCCGAGAAGTCAGATCTAGATCCTGCAACCAAATCAACTAGGTTTATCGCAAAAAGAAAAGAAAAAATGCCAACTAGGTGCAGGCATCATTATACAGGAGGAGCAGGTCTTGGAACAGTACGGATGACTGGTCAAAAGCATCTAAACACCATCAAGAAACTAGCAACCAAGCAGACGCAGGAGGAGCATACTATACTACTTCCACTATGCTGAGAAGATATTTTACCTGGAACAAGAGAAACTGTGATTTATTACCTGGAGAAGAAGCCATGCTGCAGCGCTGCGAAGTGTTGCCCAGTGCCTGTGGAAAAGGGATTTCAATCTCAGGAGGATATGGGTAGTAGTACTTCCAGCCGGGAGGTGAGATCCAGCCGTGCTCAATAATGGCAGCTGGGTGCAGGTTTTCTTCCTCAATAATGAGGGCTAAGGCGTGGGCCATGTTTGGATGGATGGACAAAAATTCATGTGCACGCTCAGACCTGCTGAAGACGGACCGCTCGATCACTGTCCAGTCACAAAATTTAGGTTGACCAGCATCCTTTATATCCAGTCCAAATATGGGACAAATATAAAGCATCCGGACACGCCTGCTATATCGGATCCAGCCCACCCTGGCCCAGCCGACCCCACATATATTCCTCCTCATCCACTCGTCGGACCAGATTCTAGCCACTTCCATCCACTCCCATTCGCCACCCAAACTCGTCTCCGGCGTCTTCCGGCCGTCTCCGGAATGGCGGGCAACGGGTCCGAGTCCTTCACCTTCAGATTCGTCGACCCCGAGCTCATCCCATGCGGCCCCAAGGAGGAGATGGTCGTCTGGCTTGCGCTCCGTCGCGCCCGGGAGGAGGCCCGTGCACGGCAGCGCTCGGACTCCTTTCGTCGGGAATCCATTGCGTCCACCCAAATGGCGCATGGATCCGACGCTAGTCCAGCCGTAGCTGCCTCGCCGGAGGCGATGCGGTCCGTCTGGCGTTGGAACGCGGTGACGGATGCGCAACCCCTCCACCGATGCGCCGAGCATTGGGACGCACCATGCCTCGTCCAACGAGAACATGGCACGGCGTGCCTGTCGTGCCAGGCACGAGGCGCGGGAGGCGGCGGTGGTCGTTGGTGAGGCGGAGTCACATTCTCCGATGCCCCATATGGTGCATCAGTCCGGGGCCGCAACCACATCGTAGTGGACGTGGCGGCTTTGTCCCGGGATGGATCCGCCATTGATCTAATGTCTGCCGGCACCGCTCGGGTTATGAGCTCCGACGAGGAAGAGTAGAGCATTGGCGATGGCGTTGCCTTGAGTCCCGTGAGCCGGCTCGTGTACCATGCCCTGATCTACCTTTGCCGGCGACCGGAGCAACACTCTGAGGGGCGCAGCCGGCCATCGGACATGGCCATGACGGAACTGGGCAAGCGGGGTGCGGAACCGAATGAAGCCGTCACTCAAAGATCGTTGCGTTGCATGTAATAATATGGATTTGAGGTATCCGGATGTGTGGAATGCATTTTTTGAAGCGTGACCGGTCACTGTCCATGGACGCGCTCAGGCGCATCCGCGGATGTTTGAGGGATCGAATTTGCAAAGTCCGGCAGTAGATGCTCTTAGGGCCTGTTTTTTTAGCTTCTAGCAACTTATTGTTAAAATAAGCCAAAAGCCCACAAGAACTTCTTTTGGAGAAATGAACTTAGCTTATTTCCACCACCTCCTCTCCTTCATAATGGAAAAAAAGCTGGGGGAGGGTGGCTTTTGACTTAAAACGAAGGGGTATAGCAAAGTGTTCCTGTTGTTTGGGACGCGGTTGTTCTGGTCCCGAGCACAGGTGCTCGCGGTATCTGGGCGGCGGACATGTCATCGGGATGTGTAGCGTTAAATTACCGAGGGAACCAGTCGATCGTTTTTTAATCGGGGAACGGGAAATACGGTAGAGAGATATGGCATACGCCGCGCCGGTGACGGAGAGCGCAGATCCCGCCATGACGGGAGGTCATCAGAGCCGTGGCTCGGGACCGTGTTCTTCTCCTGACCCGTAGCTCAGGAAGTAGTCAGATTTCTGGCAGGCAGCGGTGCGCAGGCTAGTAAATGACAAGTGAGACTAAGGCGGAGCTGTCTCCCACCGCATGCCACACTTGTTTGGATCTCCATTGACGCCTGGCGAAACCCTGAGCACCGGAGATTGGCGGGGGAAGGAATACACGGCGGCGCTATCCGTAGGGAGTTCCTGATGCAGCCCATTAGGAGGTAACCCCCCTCCCCCGAATCCTGATTGTGTATTTTTCTGCTTGTGGATTTGCAAGGGTTCTGTTTCTTGATCCAAGTTTTGGCCGATGCGGGGCCGCCGTGATGGTAGATGTCAACGAGAAGGAGCTTCCAATGGAGCCGCTGCACTACCCCGCGGTGGCGATAGGGACTGCAGAGCTACCCCCCATGGCGACAGCTAGCGCCGATAGGCAGATGTGTGTGGCGGAAGGGGGGCTCGCAGCGGATGGGGATGCTGAGCCGCAAGCATCTGAGCAGGCTGGACTCGCAGGTAATCTATTGGCTACTGGTGTTTGGATTGAAGACTTTTTATATGATTTTAGGTGTACTTGGAGTCGCATGAACCGACTTGCAGATCTTACAAAAAATAGGAATAGGTAGATCCTGGAGAAATTAGAATAGTTATATACAGATTTTCCCGAAAGCTATGCGTGCTTTGGTCCTAGCCAGTTCTGAAGATACTATGACCCACTCATGATTAACAGAAAGCATAGCAGTGTGGATGCTTGACTGCAAAATTGAGCTGAAAGCTTGTATTTACATACTTAAATGCTAAAACAAAAGGCACAGCAGTGGCAGTCTGTTTTTGATTGTACACTGTTTTCAGGTGAATTATGAATTGAATTAACTGAGTTGCAGATAGGTTGGTTAGTTGTGCCAGAGATTTCACTTACAAAATTCAGAAAAATGAAACTCGTATAAAAATTAAAATTGTTATATATAAATTAAGTGGAAACCAGTGCTAGAGCTGCTAGTAGGGACTAGATGAATAAAAAAGAGGGCATAACTGTGTTTTTTTTATGCTTGATTGTGATATGAACAAATAAATACCAGAATTCAGTTGGAAAAGCTTTGAAATAATCAAGCTTAATCTCGACAGAATCATTGGGTTCATGACTGGTGAAAAAATGAAAGTAGATGACAGGTTGATTTATCATATTGTAGGGTTAGGATTGGAGCTGCTGCTCCAGGAAGGGCACCTTGCCCTGGGCGACCCAACGCTCTTGAGAAGGCAATACGGGGGTTCGCTGACAAACTGATCGACATTGTAATCGTGCTTGCACTAGGTACAAGCTTTGACACACTCGGGGAGGCCTATGATTTTTCCAATCTCTACTCCTGGGAGAAGGGATTTGGAATAAGATACAGAAAGAGTATACTAAATGTGGAGAGGACAAAATGCATCCAGGAAATTTGTTTGCGGCTGTGCGGTACGCATTTATACCCATCATGGATTAATTGTATTAATTTTGGTTTGCTCTTGGGGTTTATGGAACCTGACCCGTTTGTGCTCGTCTTTGTCTGGATATGGTTTTGCAGGGTAAAGCTGTGGTGGAGAACAGTAGATCGTGCCGTGACTGCCCTGCTCAAAGGCAATGGTTGGTACATAGCTGAGCATTGTGAGCAACACACCCACTCGCTGTCTCTAACATATGGGCAGACAATACACTGGCTTTCCCAAAAAAAGGTGTGGGTGACAGGCGGTGCCCTTTCCCGCTGTGGGTGAAATATGAGCTGTGGTGCGATGATGTCAGAGACTGCCGATATGTCAG